CAGGAAAAATCCAGTAGGTGGCATAAATAAGCTGTATATTTTTTTCCACTTTCTATTATACAATTTTTTTTCTTTCATTTATTCCTTATTTTAAACCTCATTTAACTTACAGGGAAGCTGAAGTTTTATCACTTGGCTCTTAAAACACAATCCCACAGGCAAAGGTTTTATTCCAAATTGAGAAATTTTTTTACACTTTCTGGCAGCATATAGCTCCCCCCCCCCCCCCCCCATTTATGTTTTTACAGTTTTCTGTTTTCAAGTTATACAGCTAGGACTGCCTACACCACAACAAAAGGTAAGGGTTTCTTATTAGGACAGGCATATCTGGACTGCTTGATTCACTTCTCCTCAAACTCCTTTTTCCTTTTTTTTTCCTCTTCTTTGAAGTTCAGGCTTCCACTCTCACTTGAGTGAACAACTAAAGCAGTTTATAGTGCTGCCACCACTTGGCTATTTGCTGCTTTTCCTCGGTGAGATTTAGGAGAGTCCTTGGGATGGTGGTCCACAGCTTCTCTCCAGTGAGCACAGGGATGTCTTTCTGCATCAGCCTGAAAAGCTGCTGTGCTTAGCTTCACTTACAAAGACTACTGGTTGTTAGGAGGGTGGGACAAATTGAGTACTTTCTTCAGCACCCTCAGTTCATGTTCTTTTCTCTTGGCACAAATCCATACCCTTTGGGTGACACCCCTGCAGGGGACCCTTCTTCAAAGGGTACAAGAAGGGATGTTGGCAGGGGACAGGGAACAGCATCATCTGTATCCCAAGTTGGAGAACGGGCCTGCCACAGCAGGTGATATGCCTTGATGGTCACTTAAGTGATGGGTTCACTCATACTCTGCTTGTTGGTGTTCTCCCAACATGTGGAAAAAGAGCGTTCACATCAGTAACTTCAGATGACCTACAGCTGAGAAAAGGCACCGGAGATTGTTGCCTGAGCAAACGCATGTTTGTTTGCAAGATGCCTGCTAATCAGAATCTAGAGTTTAATGGTCCAAAATCCAGGGCTGTGGTAAAACCTGTTTACATAAAACTCAAGAAATGCCTGCCTGTAACAACAAACGGCTCTTCCCTTTCATAACTGCGAGCCCTGCCAATTACATTGGCCCACACTGCTCAGTAAAAACAGGATTCACTGAAAACAAAATTCACTCTGTTAGATTATGCCAAATACAGTAAAAATCAAAGCAGTTTTCAAGTTCAATGAAGCAAATAGAATGGAGATATTTTAAAAATGGGTATGTTTATCATGCTTCCACCCTGAGTACTTTTACTAATAACAGGCATAAAGAAGAGAAAAAATTACCTTTTTTTCACTACTGCTTACATTCTTCATTTCCTAATTTGTTCATGCAAATTGGAATAATTTCATTGCAGACTTAAAGGATGAGAAAACCATGCTGTTAGCTCCTTAAAAATTTCAGTCATTGTTAATAATTGACTTGGATAGCTATTTGAAAGCATTATTAGGTCCAACTTTTAAAACAGGAGTTAAAAAGTGAGCGTGGAGAAAACCACTGAATTGCTTCTTCTCAGTATTCATTGTTCATTTTAGGCACACTTAAAAATTAATTGGATCCAGTGACTTAGAACATTGAAGACTCTTGCATGACTCATTAAGCTGACATTTCAAACATTTGTAATTTACACAGTAAGAATGATAGAGTCAGATAAGCCATCTATACATTTGAGCTCCTTCATTAGGGTAGGACTACTGAAGAGAATGCCCTTAGTTTTGAGTATCATCATCAATTCAGCTCTAAGACATCTGTAATGGAGCTGAGTTTGATAGACTGCTAGAATGTGAAAAACTAAACTCCAACCTCTTAAAAATAGGCAACACAATTAATTGCTACTTTTTTATTTATGATCTTTAATGTTTTAATGGATACAGTTAAATTTCCACATCATTGAGCAAGCCAATTGGTATTTAAAGGAAGAAATAGATCATTTCAAATTATAAAGCACTTGCTTTATTACCTATGCCTTCTTTAAGTGATGCAAGTTTTTATTATTTTGCATTCTTGATCTTCAGAAACTTAAAACTGCTGGAGCTCCATGATTCTGAGGGACAGTTACAGCTGAGGTAGCAGAAGGGGCAGGTTTTGCTGTGTCAATTTGTTGTCCATCCAATTTATTTATTCATGCAGTATTATTTGTTTCTGCTATTTCAGAAGCTTAATAGAAACAAAAGTATTGTTACAATATCTCCTGAATTTATTTTCTTCTTTTTTCTTTAAGCCTAAATAAACATATTCTTCACGTAATATTTTGCAGTCAGGGGAGCATTCTGTGCGAATTTCCCATAAAATCAGTCAGGGTAGCACCCATGTCTGAGAGCAAAGTGTTGTGCTGCTCTTCCTCCATTTCTTCCCACTTCCTGTGAGAAGTCTTTCGAATCCACTGAGTGAGGCAGGGGTGTCAGAATTGCCTCCAGACACAGCTGAGCCCTTCCAAATATTTTAATGAAACTCAAATGATTGTTACTTAATCAGCCATGCTGTGAAATGACTTGATGTGAGCTGCTGACCTTTCACGTTTCCTAAACTGAGAAAGAGACTTTTTTCGTCCCTGGGAGCCTGACTCTTCCACAGAAGCCTCTCCTGTCTGCCCTCCATGCCCCAGAGCCCCCAGAGCAATCGGACAGTTCAGAGGTGGTCCCCAAACGCTACAGACAGTGTATTAGGTCTTCCCATCTTCAGGGGTTCATCCCACATCCACGCCAGAAATCTAGTTCAGAGAAAGGACCTGGGAAATTTGGGAAATTTAGGAAACCTACTCCTCTCAGGTAAGGCTTTGCTTAGTGCTATCAAGATACAGATAATTAGAACACTTAGTTGGCTTTCTTAGGCAACAGTTTTCTTCTATCCCTTGCATGTCGTTCAGCAGTGTTGGGATCTCTGTACATCATATGTGCACATTTTCTAATTAGGAGTAACCAAGTTCCTCTAATTCTATTGGTGAGAAGCTGCTAAGGAAGATGACACACTGTTATGAATTATTTCAACTGTCAGGCTATTAATTTTAATTAGTCTAGCTTTGTCTAGACACTTAAATGCTTTGAGAGGTGATGGGAACATTGTATGGAAACTAATTAGTCAGACACCATAATTTTCTGTCATTCCAATGCAAATAGTGCCTTTTGCAGAAGCCAGAACAAAAGTGTTCTGAGCCCAGCTCAGCCATCCCAGCTAAGTGTATGCAAATATTCACCTTGTCTGAGTAAAATATTTTTAAAATATTCTCAAGAGTTTGAAATTGTAACAGATAACACATGATAAGGTTGAGAACAAAGAGTAGCTTCTCTACGTGGTCGTTTAAGTAATTGTTTTCTCTCACCTGTTTTTAAGAAACCAAGGAACAGAGATTGCCTTTTCACTGGAAGGCAGCTTCTGTGACTTCACAATAATGATGTCTAAGAACATTGTTCATTAGGTACCTAAGGTAAGTAGGGTACACCTCTAAAATTGCCTGAGTATCTATAAACGCAATAGCCCATAGTTCCTCTCTGTAGGATACACTGTGTTCTATGATCTGAATGATACACACCTTAAATACCTGCCTGGTTATTCACTTTACCCTGTAGCTCATTGTCCCGCTCTGCTCTGTGCTGGTGTGGCCTCACCTTGAATATTGTGTGAAGTTCTGGGCACCTCTGTACAAGAAAGATATTGAGCTATTAGAAAGTGTCCAAAGGAAGGTAACAGAGATGGTGAAGGGCCTTGAGGGGAAATCGTATGAAGAGTGGCTGAGGTAACTTGGTGTGTTCAGCCGGGAGGAGACTGAGAGGAGACCTCATTGAAGTCTACAACTTCCTTGTGAGGGGAAGAAGAGGGGCAGGCACCAATTGTGACCAGTGACAGTAACCAAGGGAATGGCCTGAAGTTGTGTCAGGGGAGGTTTAGGTTGGATAGTAGAAGAAGGTTCTTCACCCAAAGGGTAGTTGGGTACTGGAACAGGCTTCCCAGGCCAGTGGTCACACCACCAAGCCTGACAGAGTTCAAGGGGCATTTGGCTGATACTCTCAGGCACATGTGTGACTCTTGGGGCTGGTTCTGTGCAGGGCTAAGGGTTGGACTTGGTGATCTTTGTGGATCCCTTCCAACTCAGCATATTCTGTGATTCTGTGATGTTCTGATCCACTGGGTGAAGAACACATGCCGTAACCAACTTCAAGTAGCTATTTATTCTTTGTGTTTCAGTGAGATCCCTCTTATCATTTTTTTCAAAACAAACTTTTAAGAATAAAGTGAAAATTACACACACACATATACACTCATATTTTGTTTCACAGAATATGCTGAGTTGGAAGGGACCTGCAAGGATCATAAAAGTCCAGTTCTTACATGAATGGCCCATACAGGCTATTCATGGTTAAGAACCATGGCCTTAACCATACAAGGTTAAGACCTTGCTGTCCTTAACACCAAGCTCTAACCAACTGAGCTAATCTCATATACACATTTTTTTCTTTTTTTTTTTTTTTTTTAGAAAAGAGAGTATTCACCTGGTTACACCACGGTATTTTTGTTAAAATAGGAGCTGTTATCAAGCATGGCAGTGTTGCTACAAAGAATAACTTGCACTTTTATTTCTATTCAAAAAAGTATCTAAAATTATTGTTATTATCAGTTTTAATTTCTAAGGGGGCACCACTTAACTACTCAAAAGATGGTCAAAATAACTGATGCCCCAGACCAAGTCATGTGAGTCATACTTTAGAAGTGGACAGGTGAAAGGAATGGTGGTATAGGGAGGCAATGTTAGTTTGGAATTCAGGAATGGCCTCAAAATGCATGTTGATACAACCTTCCTCCTGGAGCGGACAGGAGTGACTTTCACACACTTAGTTGTGTTTTGATGCAATCAAAGCAGAGGAAGAACAACCTCATTATGCCATAAGAAGCAGACCCTCCGAGACCAGACGGTTCTCTTTATCATGGTAGTTGCCCTTTGCTCAGTTGTAGAACTCCCTCCTCATTCCCCTGAGGGAGGTCTGATGGAGCATTTACTGGCTAAACTGCTCTGATGTGAGAGGCAGCTGTGTCTTTAGAAGGTGTCATACACCATCAAAGACACGAGAAGCGTCCCCAAGCTCGTTTCTGAGGCCTTCCACCAGAGGACTGAAAGCTCCCCCTGCACACACGGAAGGTACCATTCCGACCTGAATGTAAGGGTATATTAACCCATCGCACTTTGTGTTTCACAGGCTTCTTCCCCCAGCCCCAATGGATCAAGACTATCACTTCGACCAACAGACAACTATATTGCAACAAAGAACTCTTGTCACTGAGATATATGGGTGGCGATATGTTTTTACTCTTTTCCTTTTTCTTTCTTCCTCTTTCTTTCTTTCATACATTTTCTTATGTGGTATTTTTATGCTTTCCTGTTGCTATATTATTATAGATAGTAATAACCAAAACAGCTACATACCTGCTTTCCATTGCAACCAAATTGTTCCAAAATAAGACTTACATATATGTATATATATATATTTACAAACATGGATCATTCAGTGTCGTTTTACTCTAATCTGCCCCAAGAGATTTATTTACAAGAACCTGGGCTATCATGACTTTCTGAGGTAGGTTGTAACTCAGGGGCTGGGGTGGGGGGGTGACCTGTTTGTGTGTTTATCATGCTTTAGCTGGAAAAGGGCACCTGGACACCAGAAACATGTCTCCTGCGTCAGATTGCATGGCAGGTGATTTTGTTAGCATCCTCAAGAAAAACATCCTGTTATTCGAAGAGAAATTTTAATTTCTGGAGCAGAGGTAGATCTCAGAGCCTGGGTAGCCATCCTAATACCTCTTGGTCTTGGGTAGACTGGTTCCTTACAAATAAAAGAATATGACGCTTAGAGATTCCCCAGAAGGTAATTTCAGGCTCCTGAACTTCTTCCATGCTGACTTGGTAGAAGAGCTGTAGAGGTTTTGCAGTTTAGCACAGGGTTACATGGCAAGGTTCCTTTCTCTGTCTATGGAGCTTACATTTCTGTTAGCAGGTGTTTTACAATGCTTGTCACTTCTTCCAAAGGCAATGCTGGGGTACAGGGCACAGCATTTTTCCATCTCCTGACCCCAGATCTTGGGGGGACACTGCTGGGTCTCCTTGTAAAACACAAAATTTGGGTGGAAAGCAGTTCAATGTTTAGTTAAAGAAAATAGTGTAGACCAAGATCTGCATATGACATACGTGCAGACTCATACATGCAGGCCCTGACATGTCAGCAGTTGAAAGGGGGTTATTAAAAGAGGAAGAATGAATGAAACAATACCAGAATACTAAAACAAACAAACAAACAAACAAATAAAAACCCCAACCAACCAATCAAAAAACCAACCCAAACCCCAAACCAACCAAACAAAAACCCAAACCCCAACAAACCCCCATAACTAATTGGTCTGTCAGAGAGTCTGACTCTGACATGCTTGCAGCAATGTTGGGTTTGTCCTGTCTGCAGAGGTCTCCCCACTCCACAGAGAAGTCATGGGGGAGGCTAGGGTAGAGGAAGAACAGCCAGCATCCTGCTGGGGTGCAGCTGGGCTCTCCATCAGATACACCGGCACTGCAGGAAGGCACTGGATGATTTTGTTCACACAGCTTAAAGGAGGCATTTACAGTCATAGCTGTAGCTCGTCTTCAGAAACTCGCACACATTTAATATGACTACATATGTCTTCTTTATCTCCAGTTCTCGACTGTATTCTGACCAAATGAGTTGTTGTGTGAAGGCCAGAATGTTACCTTGTGACACAACAGCCAGAGATGGCAATGAACTCATATTCATTTAAAACCTGTTTTTGCAGAACTAATCTGTAGAACTTTCTGTATCTCTTTGCCTAACTGTCTCTTTGCAAATTATGATTTCAGCTTGTGATTTCAGCACTCACATAATGTGAGATGTTCTAAATTCCTTATTTACAGGATTTGTCTCTTACCAAACCAAAACTACTCTTTTAAACTTCTTCCTTATTTTCGGCTTCCAACTTGTTAGCAGCTCTTGTTTGTCCTGTTGATGGTGGCAGCCTTTGGAGCAGTGACTGTAAAGATGTCAAGTTGCATTTTATCTTCCAGTGTCAGGTGTGTCTGCTCCATTTGAAATGGACAAAAAATGCACAGACCACTTCTTGCTCTCATCACACTGCCAGTTCTTGTTTAATTCACTCTCTGGCAAGTTATCTTTCAACAGCACAGATTTCTAACTTTCTTTCATGCCCACAGTTGTTTTTCCTCAGTTGTTTCAGTCTGGTTTTCCTAAACCAAATCGCATTCATGTTTCTAGTCTCTCTCTTTGTACAGCTGTTCTGCTCACACTTCTCCCAAATCAGCTGCCATTGCAGAAGGCATTAACACGCTTCTTGCTCCTCCTGCTAGGCTAGTGATGCAGATTAAGCCAGCATAATAAAGAGCATCTGAGCAGATATAACTGGTTGGACTGGAAAATTCTCACGATAAATTTGCAATAATGGTGGAGGTGGGGGGCAAGCCATATCCAGGGCCAGCCCCTGCCTTCTCACACTTCCTCAGTACCAGTGGATTATAACTGTCTGATTCCAAGTGTCACTCACGTTTGGGACTGGAGAAAAGTTGCTCTTCCAGCCCCAGAAAATGCCCAAGAGTGATACAGGAGCACTGCAGGATGACTGCCAGACACAGCAGGTGGCTTTTCATGATACCATGGCCAGGAAGTAGAGAAGGATCTTTATTAAATCTCCCTCTTCTGCCATGGCATGCAAATGCAACTGCATATCTTCATCTCAGTTAAGTTAATGTGGCTCATTAAGGAAGGACAGTAGTACTGGGGGAGCATGAGCTACCCTTTTGGTTCTTCAGCTAGCCAAAGCTCTTGAGGAGAACACATCATGGGCTGCTTCTGCAAGAGTGGCTAAAACCATTAAGTGAAAGGCTGAAAAAAAAATTACCAGTATATCTCCTAGAAATACCTCTTTGCTGCTTACATTCAGATCAATACTTACAGATTCCAAAGCACATGCACTGCTTTAAAAAATGTTACCCCTTGTGTTATCTAAGTAATAATCCTGCAATTAGTGTAGTGGTGTTTGGTGCACATGGACATTGAGGTCTATTATTCATGGCTGAATGTATTTAATCATGCTCTGCTTAAGAGTATAATGATGCCTTAATTACAGGTCTCTACATAAAGGTCCTTGAAGGGCAGTTTTGTATTGTAAGAAATATTTTAAAAAGGCAATTTATTTTTGCTGGTGTTGACTGTGTTGGCTAACCAAACAGAAAATATACAGTTATGGTTCTCGAGGGGAATGGCTACCACTCATCCAGTAGCACAGGGCAAAGGAACAAGGTGGATAAAATGAGAGAGAAAAAAGGTTAATCAAGCTTGTCTGCCACGCCCTAACTTGCTTTAAGGCCCCAGATGAAGTGCTCACAGCAGGTATCATCTACCTAAAGGCTCCTGTTTTTCCTGATGACTTTCTCTTTCCTGAGATCTCTTCAGGGTTCATACATAGAGTGGGGGTGTTGATGTGTGGAAACATGCTTTTTCTTCTAACAGGAAAAGCTGAAAATTGTTAAGGAAATAGAACATTTACAACAGAGATTTTGAGAATTCATTAATCTCCTATAGTAAAGAAGCATCTGATATATTGCAAAAGGTTTGTTGTACTGGGTTGTTGTACACGTTTTGGTTAGTGGAGCACTACAGAGGTGTCTTCTGTGAGAAGATGCCAAAAGCTTTCACCACATAAGAGAGCCTGTGCCAGCCGGCTCCAAAACAGACCTTCCACTGGCCAAAGCTGAGCCCATCAGCAATGGTGGTAGCACCTCTGGGATAATATGTATAAGAAGAGGGAAAAGCTGCTGCGCAACAGCAGCTGGAATAGAGGTTTGAGAGTATTTAAGAGAAACTGCTATGCAGGCACCAAAGTCAGTGAAGGAGGAGAAGGTGCTCCAGGCACTGGAGCCCCTGGTGCAGACCATGGTAAAGCAGGCTGTCCCCCTGCAGCCCATGGAGGTCCATGGAGAAGCAGATATCCACCTGCAGCCTGTGGAGAACCCCATGGCAGAGCAGGTGGATGCCCAAAGGAAGCTGTGACTCTGTTGGAAGACTCTGGAGCAGTCTCCTGGCAGGACCTGTGCATGCATGGAGAGAGGAACAGGTTTGTTGGCAGAACTTGTAACCCTGTGGGGGAGCCATGCTGGAACAGTTTGTGAAAAACTGCAGCCTATTGAAAGGACTCCTGTTCAAGAATTTGTGGAGGACTGTCTCCTGTGGGAGGGATCCCCGTGCTAGAGCAAGGGAAGAGAAGGAAGGAACTGCAAGAGCAAAGTGTAATGGACTAACCCCCATTCCAGTCTTCCTGTGCCACTGGTAGGGAGCAGGCAGAGAATTCAGTAGTAAAGTTGGGCCTGGGAAGAAGGGAGGGTTTGGGGGAGAAGATGTCTTAAGATTTGGTTTTTATTTTCTCATTATCCTACTCTGATTTGATTGGCAGTATTTCCCCAAGTCGAGTCTTTTTTGCCCATTGTAATTGCTAAGTGATCTCTCCCTGTCCTTGTCTCAACCCACAAGACTTTCCTTATATTCTCTCATCCCTGTCCATCTGAGGAGGGGAGTGACTGAGTCATTTTGGTGAGCACCTAGCATCCAGCCTGGGTCAAACCACCGCATATGTATACAGCATAAGACAATACTACTTCATGCTTTGTTTTCATTGCCTAACAACCTGGCAGAAAAACAGGTGTGCTATCTTACAAACAACTTTAAGAAGTTGTTACAGTCTTCGTTGGGAAAAAAAACCCAAAACATCAAAAAAAAAAAAAAGAAAAACACACAAAAAAACCCCAAAACAACCAACCAACCAAAAAACCCACATCTTATCCCCTCAAAAAAAAAAAACAAACAACAACAAACCAAACCAACCAAAAAACCTGTTATAGTGTTTCCTGCATAGTATCTTACACAGAGCTTCCCAACTATTCATGCAGGTAGCATGCAATTCTGCAGCTCCCTGGCTGTCTGGTGGTGGAGGTACTGATACATTGGATGATGTCAGATGAACTAAATAAAAAGTGCAGCAACTGATGGAAAAAGACAGCAACCAGGTGGCTCAAGCTCTAACCAGGCACTTCAGTGTACACACGCACAGAGACACAACAGCCAAACACAAGTGAAATGGGCAGGGATTTTTACATTTACTTCCACAGATATTGCATTAGGTTCTGAATAGTAAAGGCTAATACTTTCACAGTTCCGAAACATGAATCAAACTGAAACATGGGTATCCCTTTCCTCTAATCTCACTGTGGCCCTTCCTAAAAGCATTTAATACAAAATCCTCCTTGTATGTCTTCCAGCATAGCTCCTTGGCCCCTTACCTCTGTCTCTTGTCTCACATCAGATCCTCAGAGGCAGGTCCAAGCGTCACCATGTGAACTGAACATCTGAAAGCACTGCTTTTTAGTGAGGAAATGCTTGTAGTTAAGCTTTTGGTTGATGCACCTGGGTACAGGCAGAAGAGCAGGAAGGGATGAAGTTTACAGACCTACAAGGAGAGACACAGTCACTGAAGAGAACTGCTCGCAGCTGCAGTGGGACTGTGAATGCTGTTTCAGCCAACTTTACTGCTGCCTTTCAAAGGCAGGAGGATGCCTGTTACCTTTGGGCCACTTTCTTCCCAGCAAACAGAGCCAGTCCTGTGTGTCAGGGATTGATGCCAAGGCTTTGCATTAATTCACCCCATGGCTGAACTGGACTTTTAACAGCCAGACTTCTCAGCCAAAAGTAGGAACCATCAGGAGAAACAGACATAGAAGCTATTTCTAGAATAACTTGAGTTCTTCCAGCAGTATCAAGAAGATAACACCTCTGAAAGTACATCTTGTAAAAATGCTTTTTTTAGTTGTTGCGTTTAGATGAATATTGTGTTGGCTAATTTCCATAATTTAAAACTCAATATCAGTAACTCTCACCTTTTATCTCTTAAGGTGATTGTAAGTGGCAGATTCACTTAATGTACGACAGTGTAACTGGAAAAAGAACATATTTTACAGTCTTGAAAAAGTGCCAGAGCTTTTATATATTCACTGACAGTTAGAATTCAAAGGTGATGACAACATCATGCTTGGATATAGTGAGAATCAATCATTATCTGACCTGACCTGAAAAAACAAATGCTGATGAATGTGTAGAGGGAGCTCAGTTCAGAGCTGGTATGCACGTAAACCCCTTAATCCGTGCACTTGTGATAAATGCTGTTCATCATTAGCAGGTGGAATTAAACTTGACTTGCAGAGGGTATCAGTGAATACAAACACTTTTGGGAACCTCTTAACTATTTCCTGGGGAAGAGCCCAACTTCCATGGGCTGCTTCAGGTGCCAATGTCTTGGAGACAGGAGGGTGCTTCAAGAGAACAGAATTCTAAGGGATTATTTTTTCTTTTCTTTTTTTTTTTTTTTTTCATTAAGTTTACCCTAATAGAATTTTAGGCCAAAAATTACATTTCCTGACTTGAGTAAAACAGTCAAGTTAATTTTGTACTTTTCACCTATATCCACTAACACAATCAAAATTTTAATTCCTTTTGGCAGTCTTCCTGACATGGCATACCACAATGGCTTACTTCATGATACAGCTAAAACTGGGAGCACTTTGCTTTACAAGGCATTTTAGCCCAAGACAAGGAGGTTTTTGGAGTGAAACTGAACACTACACAGAAGTGCAGAGTCCACAGCTTCATCTAACATTTTCTAAAACTCTAGGCAGTCAGTTTCTCGTTTACCAGGAAAATGGCACCTAAGCTAACTCTAGGCACTCCCAAATTGCATAATCTGACACTTGTATGGTGTTAGAATGGTCAGATTCCTCCCCAGATTTCTGTCAATCAATGACATTAGAAAATGCAATCACTTAGAAAATGTTAACTCCTATGTGTTGATTTCTGATACACCAGTTCTCTAAAGGGGCAGGAGGTGAGGGGAAGGAACAAAAAGGAATGAATGTTCATTTTCATATTCCTCTTCTTATGATTTTCCAAGTTAAAAAAAAAAAAAAAAGAGCACATTTGGTGACTCTCCCTGTGTCATTAGTCACCTAAACAACCAGACCAGTTGTTTTAAACCTGTGTACGATAGCTGCACATCCAGGACTTCCATCATGCCCAGGACTCTCATTGATTTGTCGGGGGAGAGAGTTCTGTTCCAACCTGGAAAATAATAGTCATGGCCCTCTACCCTGCAAAGCTATATTCATGGGCATTTCAAATTTTTTTTAGCTCCATTATGTACGAATAGGAGGTTAGGCTACAGTACATACAAATAGTGTCTGCATATGAAGCACATTAGCAAGGTACTAGTGCAGCAATGGAGATCATAGTTTAAAAAACTATTTTTGGGGCAAAGATCTATTGGACATGTTACTAATTAACCTATTTTATACAGCAATACAGTGGGACTACTGAAGAGGACAGCTCAGCATACACACATTATCAGACAGCTCAGCATACACTTCATCAAAGTCAGACTTTGGAACATACTCTACATTCTTTAAAACTGCTATCATAGAATCACAGAATCTCAGCATATCTCATATTGGAAGGGAGCACCAAGTTCAACTACATGCTCCTCAAAGGACTACCTAAAACTACTGCCAGGAGATGTAAGCAAGAGTTACATGTATGATCACTAACTCCCTGAAGGAAGCACAATTAGACTGATTTTGGTCAACTCGGTGGTAAATAAAAATTACATTCTTGGTAAAACTGAAATTAGAAACCTCTTCCTGTTCCAAAATCTGTCCTGGCAATATGTCTTGTCTCTCCACTAGACAAGAATTTAATCCACGAGATACAGGCAAGCATGTATAAATAAGTGAACTGGATTTTCTGTAAAATTAGATTAAATTCTGGAAAATGTTTAAAGCAGTCATCCATTTTCTCTACTTCATCAGATTGATTTGTTTATCTCTAGCACTGTGTGTATTTTAAAATCATGAAGACAATAACACGTTATTTTGACTTTGTTTTCCAGACAACTGTTTGAACTGGGGCAAGAGATGGCAGATCGACAGATCTGAAAATGACCCAAAAGCCAGTTTTGCCATGCCAAAGGGAGATCCAACTTGCAGTAATTCTGTTGAACAAGAAATCCACACAGGTCCTAAGTGAATGAGGAATTCATTGGGAAGCTTGCGCTGGTGTTCTTTACTGCGTGTGACCCAGTCTCAGGTCACTGGGTGGTTGCATGTGTGCAGCACAGCTCAGCTCCCTGCTACACAGGACAGCCTGCACCCACTGGCTCTGAGAGTGTATGCATGGCAAAGTGAGGGACATTTTTCTGTTTAATTTTTTTTTTTGCAGCTACTGCTGCTGTTTGCTGTCAGTCTGGTGTCAGAGGGAAGACCTTATTTTCACAGTAATTTGGCTCGTTGGGTGACATACCTCTATAACTAGTGTGTAGGATGCAGGTGAGAGAGCATCCACACATTACATGCTAAGTGAAGAGTGAGAAGAAACATTGGCCAGAGGGGTGCAATAGTGTGGTAGTTTGGTCTAGGCCTTCCTTGGTGACCAGTTTGTAACCAAGGAAGTGCCCAGATTTACCCGGTATTCCCTACGATTTTTACGTAAGCCAGACTATAAGAAGAAAGGAGGAGAGGCCTTCGCTCTCTTTCCTTCTGGCAGCTTGGAGGTGCAGGTTCCCTGCTGTTGAGTCTGTGGTGTTGGGGAGCGAGGCCTGGTAAGGCCTTGCCGACCTTGGGAGACGGAGGTTGCCAGCGATCGTTCCAGCGTGACTTTCTGCTGTCCCAATGAGAGTAGTAAGATAGTCTTTTGCTAATGTCTTTTAGTTGCTAGATCTCGGGCTGCTGATTGGGATATATATATATTTTATTTTGGTTTTGTTCCTTTTCCCTTCCCCCTTCCCTTTCCCTTGTGAAATTGTATATATTTCAATTGTATATAACTGTAATATAAGTGTAAATATATTTATATATATTGCTTTAGCTGTCTCTCTCTCGTTTTGGTTTTCTTAGTTGTTTTTTCCCTCTTCTCCCTGAGGTTTTGGGGGGAGGGGGTGTGAACTTCTTCTGGTAAGGTTTGGAGACTTGGCAGGGAGCCAGCTTCAAACCATATCAAATAGTAAAAACTGACTGACCTCAAAGGGTGGAGTGGCTTGTTTAGGACCACTGTTTTAAGATATGTCTCCCCTCAACAGAGATATTTCACCTGCCCTTAGGTTACTGTGATACTATGTTATCACACAGTACCTGCAGCACTGGACCAAACCAGATCTGAGAGAGCTCACAGAAACTTCTTGGCAGTCCAAGTCACTAAGTCAATGTAGGCCAAGTGAGAATGGCTTCAGTGGGTCCCTGTTTCAAAGGGAAAAGCTGTTGATAAGAATTTAAGGTGAGAAGGAGAAAGGACGCAGAGTAACAGAACTGTTTAGATCCCCTGAAGGAAGTCATTGAGGTGTGTTTCTCTGTCTGGTCAGATAGGTCTGAACTGACAAGGGTATGAAGGCACTAGCTTAGAACTTGTTCTAATACCATTTAGAAAGCATCCCTTTCACTATGCTGCCAGGATTGTTTGCAAGATAAAGCCCAAAGGCTTTTATTGCAGTTGGTAACTATTTTTCAGTTCCAGTAAACTGCTTGAACATGGTCCTTTGGTGCCTCCCCATGATGCTTTGCATGGCTGAGAGAGAGGCCACTTCTCACCCAACAGCAAAGGGTCCAGCCTTCGCAACCTGTGCAATACCAGCGAAGGCAGATCACCTTGGGCAAAGCTTTCTTCCAGTCAGCAGGAAAAAACTCGGGTGGGCACCAATGCTGCTCACATCAGCAGCCCCCAAGGGTTGAGCTATCCTGTCCTCCCTGCCTTAATTTACCAATCTAGCTTGTTTTCCTGCTGAAATTGAAGTGTGCAGCATTTCTGGATGAGCACAAATCACAAGTAAAACAGGAGAGGAGTAAAACAGCATAATGAAATTTTATTCTGAAAATATGGCAAGACTCTAAGGCACTTCAAACATTTCAATACTCATGACTAAGGTGAATGTGACAAGGTAATAGCATTCCATAAATACGCACTGAGAACTACGCTCAATTCCACTCAAGGGGAATATACAACTGGTACCTCTAATTTTATTCTCCAATAAATGTGTATGGAGCTTATAGACTGACACAGTTAATAAAAATATGGTAACAGGACATGTAATTCTTCATCTAGATTTTAATTATTAAGGAATATAAAATGTTGAAAATACTGTGCGAATTAATTTTATAGACACTAGTATCTTTTATATAAAAAGTTATACATTATCCCCAATTAGCAACAACTTATTTAGTGAACTTCAGACCTGACAAAAGGCTCTATCCCCAATACCTACCCACTCACCCACCAGCTCAAGATCCACGGAGCTGACTATATAAGCAACTGCAACTTCTGAATTTCAAATAATTAAAAACATGAAAATCATGTTGGAATGAAATCTATGAAAAGTTTACTGTGATAAAGTCTAGGCACAGTAAATATATTTTAGAATGACTAAAAAGAAGCCACTGGGACACCCCTGCATGGATAGCTTTAGAAGTCTTAGGGCGCACATAACACAGGAGAGGATAATCTACAGCAAAGAAAAACAGGATTTATGCCAGTGTACAGAATGATGACTATGCGAGCAAAAGAACAGAAAGGTTCTCTGCTGAGCACTACTTAACTATAGGTTTACTTCAAGTTTACAGTTTTCTCTCTTTAGCACTAGATCTCTGCTTTCACTTTGCTGGTGAGTTCAGGCACAAGACAATTACATTCAGTATCTGTCTCAGTAAAACAGTAACATTTAGCAGCTTACAGATGGCATAGAGATTTTTTACAGATATTCATGCACTACTACTCAAACGTGGCTCTGTGGGTGGGACCAGGAGATGTCCTTCTGCTAAGCCTAGGAGTGCCCTAGAAAAGAAGAACAATTAATCAAAGACAAATTATTCCAGCCAGCTGCTAGTGAACACAACACTCAAAATTACTCTGTTCAATCCCTTGCCTTTAATTGTACAGATAAATCTTTTTTTGACTTTTTTTTTTTTTTTTAATTTTAGGAAGAACAGTGCCAGCTATCATACAGCCTACAGGCACTAGAGTGGATGTTTTTTAGACAGTGAAATGCTTAGCAGCAGTTTATCAGAAGAGCGAGTCAGGGCTAGAGAAGGGGTAGGTAGTTGCCAGAACACCTAGGACAGCTCTAATGCCAGAAACAGCTATCTTTGGGTGACCAGGTCAATAATTAGCATTACAGTAATACAACAGCATCCTATCCACAAGGCAGTGTCAGTGAACCTTGCTAGTGAGCTATCTGTATCTCTAAATAAACGGGAGGAGGAGGAGGAGGAAGAAGAGGAGGAGGAAGTATCCCTCAGCCAGGCTTCAACCTTCTGCAGTCAATCTGCATTTTAAAAAGTACAGTCCACTTACCAGCACAAAAATGATCCTGTGATTAAACTTGAAATTTCATGTGCTATACTGCTGTATAGCTACCAGGGGGTTAATTTCTTGTTTACATTTTACTATTATGTTCAGGAGCAGCAAGCTAAAACATAAACTACAGGAGGTTGTATACTAACCGGTGACTGGGTTTTGGAAAAGTTGACATGCGCGTAAAGGAGAACTGCTATGTCCTTATGTCCAGCTTCCAGGGCTATTGAAAGTGCTGTGCTACCATCCTGAGAGAAGAAAGGAAGAAACAGGAGAATTAGTGCTTGTATGCATTAACAGATCTCTTAAAAGTCCCATCAGCCCACAGAGAAGGGAAGTTATGAAGTGGAGGCCCTGGTGCTCATACAGACAGTTAGGTTAATTTAGAGTCTTGTTTCATTTCTTTTATTATTAGCCTTGCACTGCTGTTTTATGAGGTAGTCCAATTGTCAGAGGCCTAATAATTTCTCTCAATGAGTACTCTTGATTACTGCTGAGGAAGAATAAGCACACCATTATCATAATAACGTTACATGTAGTGCTGTGTAAGACCAGTGATTTCAGAAGATTGGGCTGTCTGAGAGAAACTACAATGTCAGTAACAAGTGGAAGAGAAGAAAAGGGAGGGATAAATGCTAATCAAATATAATGATAATTGCTCTATTACAATGATAACTGTTGTGTTAGAGGTCCCATTAACATTAGGAGAATTTGCACTCATAATTCCAAATGTTCCTTAATGGAAGTCTAAATATAATTTCATGGTTAAATACTGTCACCTCAGTTTCTCAAAAGATATTATTGCTTTCAGAAACCACAGTTGTTGAGGGTACTAGAAGCAAAAACTGGGTTTGCTGAAAGGATAATTTATTGATCTGCAGTTTTTCCTTTAGACCATGTTTGGTCCAGGAAGAAGCAGATGTCAGGCATCCCCTGGCTTGCTGGTTGGTTCCCTGCCTGCCTTTTGGCTCTTGCACACAGAAGTTTCTACAATAATGCCCATATTTGAAATGTGCTCTCACAGGGATGGACCACATATTCCAGCCATGGCCATAGCTCCGGTATTGGTATTGGAGAGGTTGGCTCAAGTTTTTAAACTGTAAACCCTTTCTCCAGCACAGGACACAACAGACAGCATCCACATGGAAAATCTCCTTATGAGACTACAGGAGGCAATTATACATAAAGCAGACAGGGAGCTAGAATAGCTGTCCACTACAATGCAATATAATGCACTACAAATGTACAACACTCCACAGGCAACACAAGTGCTTAAAGAGAGATGCTGAATCACAGTCAGAATGGAACACATTAGTAGGATAATGCTCAGCTTACTACTGGTCACGCAGACTGGAAAAGCCTCGCTGTGACATTCAGAATAGCTAGGAGAATGCTAAAACTCTCAAAATCTCATAGCACAGACAAGCCCATTATAAAATGAATAAGCAGCAGTCAAACTGTGCTTGGGAAAGAGTGTGAAACTGGCTACAGGAATACTTAAGTGTCGTGTCCCCATAAAGATTTTTAAATTACTGACTTCATAACTAAGAGTGCTAACAGCATCCTGGCTGCAGTTATCTAGATTGCCCCAGAAGTGTTTGTTACACTGAAGTCTTCTTACATTTTCTCCTCAGGCCAGCTGTTACACACTGCTAGTACTATCAGACAGCTGAGCTGCCTCCTGCAGCGGGTCAGTGAATGAAGAGAAATGATGTCTCTGCCTCTCTGCAACAGAGTCAACAACCACCCACCCACTGCCCTCCAAAATCCCAAACCATTGCAGTGGGTAATGCAATAGGAAGAATGGAAAAGTACCCAAGAAATGTTGTTAACAGGAATACAGTACTGGCAAGAGATCAACTAAGTCAACATTTTCAAGCTTGAGAATTCTACAGATCAAATATTCTGCTGACAGTGTAGGCTGCGATGATCCTTGCAAACAAAAAATATACAAGTGTCTCACTTGGCACGGAAGTCACAGTCTGTATCTCTTTATTGTCAGGACAACAGAGCTTCGTGACTGAGACCAAACCTGTACTCTAAAAGTCATTCTGTAGATACAGTGTGAACGTCATATCAAGAGAACTGATATTTGCCACAGGCACAGAAAAGCAATACAGAAAGGCCTCAAAGTCACTAGATAAGGTCCTAACTGAAAATGGGAAAACTCCTGTGAAAGGGAGAAGGAATGTATGAAAGGAAGATATTTTACTATGAGCTAACAAATACTTTTTTCTGTTCTGGCCACTAAATACCTATAGCTAACCACAGAAATAGCTACCAGGTAGGTCTGTTAGAAAAATAAAAATACCAGCCAAATAATCACAGCACTTACTACAATTAAGATTCATGTGGCTGGTACTTTAGCACTCTCTGAGTCAGAGATTCACCTAAGCAGATTTCAGTAGTACAGTCTGGAAAGGCAACTCACATTGTCCTCCAGGGTGCCATTACACCCAGGCTGAGCCAGCAGAAGTTTAACAATCTCCACATGTCCATGCTCACTAGCACACATCAGAGCTGTAGAGCCCTCATCATCTTGGATATTGACATCTGCACCACAGGCCAGCAAAGCTTTAACCATGTCTATCCGACCATGACTCACAGCTAGCATCAGTGCAGTCTGACCAGCCTGCATGAAGAGAAGAAGAAAACCCAAATAAATACAGAGACAATCACTGACAAAGCACGAACACATTTTTTTGGCACTATGCTTCTTCTGGGGAAAAGAAATTGTTATCTTAAACAGTACTCTCAAGGCTTGGATTGCCATTATTTAAATACCTTTTATGCATCAAATATCCCACATTCACTTAGCTATTTATTGAATTAGTGAAAGATATCCAAACTATTTCCAGACATCTACAGTTCTTTGGAAGGAGCTAAATGCCACAGAATTTCTAAATGCCTCCTAAAATTCAGTAATAGTTCTTTCATATAATATTCAACCTTCATTTTTAGAAGAGGTCCAGACCTGAGGCTCAACTGTTCTTCCATGGCTTTGTTTTGTACACAGCAATCAAAAACATACACACAAAACCCACAGATGGTGAAAGCGAATGTGCGCAAAAGCTGAACTGACAGAGCAGGGATGGGAGCGTGGAAGGAAAGATAAAAGGTCACAGAAATGCAAACTGTGCCTCGTGAACCATTTGACTGACCTGGCTGGCTTTAGCATTCACGTCCCCACAGCTGAACAGTTCCTCCACTATCCTCATGTCCTTCTCTGCTTCCACAGCTGCAAGCGCAGCAAGCATGATGGGAGTATAACCAGCCTTGTTCTGATGA